CCTCTGAGACTATGAGAGTCTAAGTGTAGAACTGCAGCTTGCTTTTCCTTTTCTATCCGAGCACCTTTGGGACCCCGTTGCCCTCCGTACAGCGCCCCATTTCCAGCCCCCACCATTTGTGCCCAGCTCGATGCTCCAGAGGACATGTGCGAATAAGGAGAGCATTTTGGAAAATAAACTTTAATGCTTACAACATCCTGGTGTTTATACCTCATTGACATGAATCGTGATGAACGACGCAGCAGCGCTCTCGTGTCTCGTCCTGCGGCGGCCGTGGGGCAGAGCCCGTGTGCCCAGAGCTGATGTGGCCTCCAGAACCGCCAGCCTTTCTGCCCAGACTGCCCTGTAAGTCATGACCTGGTGGATGCCAGCACTGTGTGTCCTGACACCTCTCTGTATCTGCCTGCTCTGGAGCCTGCAGTCCCAGCCAGAGCTGGCGAGGCGCGGACAGGAACCGGGGCAGGGGCTCGCCGGGCCCTGCCCCGCTGGGACTGACATCACTGACATCACACCCGCCTTGATTGTATCGTCCAAGTGTGTGGAATTCCTTCACTGAGCTCGTTACGTGGAAATAAAATGTGGTTGGTTTTAAAGCTGAACCTCCTTGCTGTCTGTTGTCCGTGGCTCAGGCCGTCCAGCTCCGCTCCAGCGTGCCCAGCTCCAGCCCCTCGCTGAACGACTGCGGCCAGCGAGCCTTGTGCTGCACGGAGGCAATGTGGCTTGTGGCCCTGGGGGGCTGCTGTCCCCAGCCCGGGGCACCTGCACCCCCCTGCACACCTGCCCTGGCCCCTCCAGCCCCTTCCCAGCCCCTGGCTCACCGGTCGCTGCCTGGAAAGCTGGTGGAGGAGAGGGAAGGGACCCCACTGGATGGGCTCCATGGGCCAGCTCGACACGGAGATGTCACTGGCTTTCCCCGAGTCCACCATAGGGTCATTCATGCTGCTGGAGCTGGTGTCCCAGTCGTAATGGAAACTGGGAAAAGGATCCATTAAAAGGGGATAAGAGTTAGGCTGGTGCAGGAGAGGGACCCTGTGCTGTGCCCTGGGGATGATGAAATCACTGCTGGGCCAGTGCCAAGATCAGGTCCCGCAGCTGAGGGAGTACCCAGAGCTGTGGCTTTGCTCCTGATCCCCCCGGGCCCACGCCTGGGGGTGTTCCTGCCTGTCCTTTGCCAGCCGAGCTGGAAACTTCCAGGGCTCTTTTTCCATGGACACCCCTGGAAGCTGATTTGACTTTCCCATGAGCACACAGAGCCACCCTTTCCTGTAGATGTGAACTCTCCTGTCTTACAGCAGTCCCAGCACACCCAGCTCCTCCCGTGGGAGAAAATAAAATAAAATAAACCAGGTGCTGCTCTGTGGGCTCCAAGGGCTGGGGGATGTCAGAGCAGCCACTGTCTGGGCAGGGCTGCAAATTCCGTGTGCCCCCAAGCCCTCCCTGCCCAGAACCACCGCAGCCCCCCGAGCAAACCCCAGGGCAGGCTGTGCTCCGGGGCTGGAAGAGGGTCCCTACCTGGGCTGGCACTGCGGGTGGGCACAGGGCACCGGGCCCCGCTTGGCAGCGCCGGTGCTGCCCGAGTCCCCCCGGCAGCCGCAGCAGCCGCTGTCCAGCACCTGCAGGTGCAGCAGCTCCTCCGAGTTGCTGAAGGCTGGGTTGTCCAGAGAGCTGGCCGAGGGCAGCCCCGAGCGGGACCAGTACTGGGCTGAGACATCGTCCAGGCGGCAGAAACGGCGATAGCTGTGGGGAGGATGGGCACGTGCTCAGGTGGGCACATATACAGGTACACACAGGTACAGAAACACAGGTACACACAGATAGAGGTACAGACACACACACACACAGGTACAGAAACATACAGGTACACACACACATTACACACAGGTACAGACACACAAGGGCGCACACAAATACAAATACACACGTACACACAGAGCACGCACATGCACACGTGCACACACACACGTGTGCACACACAAGCACATGAACACACAACCCCGGTGACCGCTCGACAACACAGATCGCAATTTCTGCCCAAATTTCCTGCGGCCAGGGAAGGGCCCAGCCGCACACCCAGGGTGGGGACAGAGCCCGTGACACTGCTCAGCCTCTGGCCGCAGCCCCGCGGTGGTTGCAGCTGTTCCAGCGGTTTCCTCGGGAACAATCCCCACGGCACATTACAGAACGGGCCGCGGGGCCAGGACAGCAGAGCCCCGTTCCCAAATGAACTCTGTCAGGGCGGTGCCGGAGCCTCACTCGCCCCGCTCCCCCCCAGCACGGGCAGGACACGCCGGGACAGGCGGACAGCACGGAAGGGTCCCAGAGACCGCGTATTGGAGCTCATCAGCACACCTCACACATCTGCCCACAGCTGCACAGCCCACAGACCCACCGACCCCATCCCGAGCCCCCGCGGCTCCACGCTCCCACCTGCTGCGGGTCTGGTCCGCCCTGGCCTCCAGCAGCAGCGCCTTGAACCGGCGGACGGCGATGGCAGCGAGGACGGCGCCCAGGAGGAGGATGCTGAGCAGGACCCCGGCTGCCATGCCCAGCAGGCCCTGCTGTGTCACCCGGTAGTCACAGCGCAGCCCCATGAACCAGAAATCGCTGCCTACGGGGCACCTGCACCGAGGGGTCCATCAGCGCCAGGGGGACATGCCCGCCAGCCCGGGCTGTCCCCAGGGCACTCACTGGCAGCGGGGCTGGTGGTCCCGGGCGTGGGAGCAGATGCCGTGGTTCTTGCAGTAGTCGCGGTGGCAGAGCGAGGTGCAGGTCACGTTCCCGTCCGTCCTGGGCACGCAGGCGAAGCCGGCCGGGCAAGCGAAGAGCAGAGCACAGGGGTCCAGCGGCCGCGCTGCAGGGACGGCTCCAGCTGTGTCACCGCTCCGTGCCCAGCGTGTGCCCACCCTGCCCGAGCCCCCAGCCCCGCACTCACCCAGAGCCCCGTGGCGCAGCACGGGAGCCGTGCCCACGGCCAGCCCCGGCTGGGCACGGGCAGAGCCCAGCGCGTTCTCCAGGAGCTCGTCCAGCCCCGGCCCCGGCAGCTGCTCCGCCGCGAACAGCGCATCGTAGCGCAGCACCACGCTGCCCTCCCTGCGGGGACACCGCGGGGGCTGGGACCCCTGCCCAGCACCGCAGCCCGGCCCTGCTGCGGCCCCGCAGCGTGTGACAGTCCCTGTGCCCCGTGCCGGGAGCGCCACACGCTGCGGGACTGTGCCACCCACCCACCTGATGCCCGTCACCTCCAGCCGCAGGAACCCGGGCAGCGCCGAGAACAGGGGAGTGACCTGCACAGGGTGGAGAGGGCTGAGCGCCATGGCCCAGCCCGCAGCCCCCGACCCGCAGCCCCCAGCCCGGCCCAGCCAGCACTCACCGTCTGGTTGAAGCTTTGCAGCAGCTCCTGGCGCTCCTGGGAGCCGGGGTCCTGCAGGGCCGGGACGAAGCCCATGTCCAGCACCAGCTCACAGGGGATGCGCAGGAGGGATGCTGCAGGAAGAGATGGGGACCAGCAGGTGGTGAGCCCAGCCTAGGGGCCACCACCTATTCTGGTGGCTCCCAGGCCCTCTCCCCCTCCTCTGTCCCAGCAGAGGATTCTGAAAGCTCAGACTCACCTCTCAAGAGTGGGGGCTGATCTTCCACGATGAACACCTGGGGGGCCCTGCCCACCCCAGCCAGTGTCACCTGGGGGGCATCCGTGTCTGTCCTCCCTCCGGGGCTGCTCGATGGCTGGGCCAGCTCTGTGTCCACAGCAGCTGGGGGGACCCCAGGGCCCCCACCATGGGAATCCGGGGGCTGCTGGGGGGCCCCGGACACCACAGTGGGCACACGAGTTGGGGACGCCCATGCCAGCCCCACCACATCCCTCTGCAGCACAGCAGCACGTGGCTCTGCTGTGACCGTCCCCATGTCCCCGAGCCTTTCTGGGCTGGTGGCTGTTGTGACACCGGTGGTGGTGACACCAATAGCGGTGGTCGGGCCCAGGGAAGATGCAGACTGGGAAGATGCAGACTGGGAAGAAGCTGGCTGCTGGGGAGGCCCAGGTGCTGAGGGGGGTGCCAGGCTGCCCACTCCCACCTGTGTCCCCCCCAGGGATGGAGGGCTCTCAGCAGGACCTGCCCTCGAGCTGGAATGGGGCAGCCCTGGGGAGGGGTCTCCCAGGGGCGTGCCCACAGTGGGGCTGAATCCCAGGACCCCCCAGTCTGTCCCTGGGGAAGGCAGCGGGGTCACTGCAGAGCCACTGGCTGGGGCAGCCTGTGGGGACGGGGGGATGTGGGACAATCCAGGACTGGCCTGTGTCACCCTACCCTGTGCCACTGCAGTGCTGCCAGGGGCCAGGGGGACAGGGGGGTGCCCTGGTATGGCTGACAGGCTCAGGGGGATGTGACTGGGCACAGGGGGACCCCCTCTGTCAGCTCCCATGGTCCCTGTGGTCAGGTCTAGGGCTCCTCCCTGGTCAGGAGATGTCACCCCTGGGGTGCTGGCCATGGTGGTGGGGACAGGCAGACCTGAGCCCCTGCGTGTGGCAGGCAGCAAGGCTGGGCCTGTCCCCACGGCTGGCCAGGCTGTGCTGGCCAAAGGGCCCCCACCAGCCTCAAGGGACAGTGCAGAGGGGCGAGGGGCAGAGCGGGGACCCTCATGTGGGTGGGAAGCAAAGCCTTGTCCTTCTGACAGCCCTGGCAGCCCCCAGTGTGTCCCCTGCAGTGTCCCTGTGCGGGTCAGCAGCCTCTGCAGCCCCCCAGCAAAGGGTGATGTCCCTGTTGTCCCTGGTGCTGAGCTGTCAGTGGCCAGCACGGTGCTTGGGCGGGTCCCTGGGCTGCTGTCACCCAGCTGGAGAGAGTCCTGGCTCTGCACAAGGGTTGTCCCCACGGCTCTCCATCCCAGCAGGGTACTGCTGGACCTCCACTGTCCCCTGGCAGAACCTGGCACTGTCACAGAGGGTGGTGAATGGGAAAGTGTCCCCTGCAGGGTGGTGGCACCTTCTACTGTCACCTGTCCCACAGGGTCAGTGCCCGGCGGCTGCGTGGCCACAGGATCTGTCCCTGCCTCCACAGGGGGTGCACTGGTCACCCCCAGACTGGCAGGGGATGGCAGCTCCCAGCCGGCAGCTGCCTGTCCAGTGGTGCCCGCAGAGCCCAGGGGCCCCAGGGGCTCGGTGCTTGTTCCACCCCGCACCGCCGGCCCTGTCCCCTCCCTGCCCAGCCCGGGCGCTCCGGGGCTGTCCTGTGGGCTGGAGAGCTCGGCTGTTCCAGCGGGAGTCCCAGGGAAGGGCAGCACTTCAGCCTCTGTCCACAGCTGCCCCACGGCCTCTGGAGTGGGCACCTGCCCTGTGCCAGCTCCTCGCCCTGGGCGATCTGCGGGCAGAGGGGGCGAACACTGAGTAGCTCCTACCCCCGCCAGCACCCACAGCAGCCACATGGGCTCCAGAGAGCCACCACACGCGTGGCTGGCACACAGGGCAGCAGGAGGGAGGGTCTCGGCCGCCGCAGTACCTGTCTGGCAGCGCTCCCCCGTCGCGGTGCCCAGGTGAGCGCAGGGATCGGCAGCGCTCAGAGCGGAGCCCGTCCCGCTGCCCAGAGCGGGGCAAAGCCGAGCACAGCATTCCACGAGCACTGGGAGAGAAGGAGAGGAGCAGCGAGCACCAATGCTGAGCATCGAGCATCCTGCACCAGCACCAGGCACCGACAGCCGGAGCCACCGCCGAGGGTCGGGGTCTCTTTCTCCCTCTGTTAACCGTGGGTGGCTCTGCTGAAGGAGATGCTCCAGAACAACCCAAACCCAGCTGGGAACCACCTGCCCCAGTCCCAACGATCGGTGCCGAGTCCTGCCCCACCAGCTCACTCTGCCGTGCTGGGAACCCCCGGTTCAGCCCGAACCCGGCCCAGCCGCCACGTGCCGACACCGGCACCAGTGGGTCCGCGGGCAAGGCACGGCCCCCGAGCCCGAACAGGGCTCCGGGCAGGGCTCCGGGGCCCGCGGCGGCTCCTCTCCAGGGCTAATGGGTGGCTCAGCAGGGTGGTCACCGCCCGGGTAGGGCTGAGACTGGACGGGGGTCACCACGAGCCCTGCGGGCCCCGCTCTCCACCGGCGCCTCTCCGGGGCTCCCGCAACGGCCACGGCACAGCACGGAACGGCCACAACACGGTATGGAATGGCCACGGCACGGAACCCCCACAGCACGGCATGGAATGGCCACGGCACGGAACGGAACCCCCACAGCACGGTATGGAATGGCCAAAGCACAGCATGGCCACAGCCCGCACGCGGCCGCCGCCGGCGTGCCCGCCCCGCTGCCCGCTCGCCTCGGTACCCGCGGCCGGGCCCATTCTGGGCAGGTCCCGGTGACAACAGTCGCCGCTCCCAACCCCAGCATCACGGGGAATACGGACCCGCCCGCTGCCGTTACCGGCCCCGCCGCCGCAGACCTCCGGGCCGCCGGGATGCACCGGCCCCGCCGCCGCCGCCGCCCCCCGAGCGCAGCATCCCCGGCCCGGGGAGCGGCGGGACCGGGACCCCTTCCCGGCTGTGCCCACCTCCCCTCAGCCGCTCACCTGCAGCAGCCAGGAGCCGGGGCAGCGGCGGCCGGGCCCGGGGCAGCGGGAGCCGGGGCCGCTCCATGGCGCGGCGCGGGCGGCTCTGCCAGGCGGCGGCAGGAAACCCCCGCCCGCCCCCGCTGCGGCGGGGCGGAGGCGCCGGGAACCGCAGCCCCCGGCCCGGGCCCGCCCCGCGGCACCGGCACCGGAGCTCCCTCCCTCCGGGCCGGGCGGACCGGGGCTCGGCAGCGGGACCCACCCCGGGGCTCCCGGCACAGCCCCCGGAGCTCAGCACGGAGCCGCCGCCCGCGGGGCTCGGGGCGCTCGCAGCTCCTGCCCGTCCCCCTGGCAGCGGTTCATGCCGGGACACGTGCTCTGCCCCGGCTGTCCCCACTCTGTGACCCCAGTCAGGGCAAAGGCTCGCCCAGGACACCGATGTCAGCTCTGGCTGCAGATCCATCACCACATCCCTCAGGAGCACCACACCCAGGAGAACCCAGCGACCACTCCCCACCATCAGACATCTTGTGTCCATGCCATGGGGAAACCACCACAGGCACAGCAGCCAAAACCACCGGGTGCCCCCAGTTCTGCTGGGCAGCTGCTCAGAAGTCTCAGAGCTCAGCCAGGCTGTGGAGCCACGCAGTTTCCAAGGGCACAGTGAGAGCAACACCTGGGCCCCGGAGGCAGAGGGTCACTGGTCTGCCAGGGATCTCAAAGGGCAGCTCCTGAGAAGGGAACACCCCACCACCAACACAGGCACCATGTGCAGCACTGCAGCCTCTGCTCCATTTTCCATCCTTAGCTCCCCCCTTGCCAGAGGATCTGTTATCCAGTGACACTTCCTTGGCTCCCAGCCTGGCTGTGACAAGTCAGTGTTTCTTGGCTCTGAGGAAAAACTGTGCAGTGCTCAGAAATAACCCGTTCCTGCCTCGTGAGGGTTAAAAGCAAGGCTCCCATGCTGAGATGAACCGAGTGTACAGGAACAGCAATGTGAATTTGCTGTTCAGCAGCAGGAAAGTCATTCCCCCCCCTTATTTTCCATCTGGAAAGCAGAAGCCTTTCACACAGAACTTGTTTGCACCAGCACTGATGAAACAAACAGTTACAAGCATGCAGGGTAGAGCCAAATCTCGGTGCAGGGTCCTCAGAGTGCCCTTCACACCCCAACACCACCACCAGAATCCACCCACTGTGTGAGACAGAACAGCCACCACCAGCATGGTCTTAACTCTTTATTCCTGTTTTTTTCTTGTTTTTAAAGGACAACACATTCAGACAGTTTTAAATACAACATCCACGTGCAGCTTTCCCAGGGAAGGCCGCAGTGGGACAGCGTGTGAGCTCCCATCCATCCATCCATCCCTGCAGGCACCAGCCCAGTCCTGGTGTGGGACAACTCCTGGGAAAACAAAACCCACGTGTTTAACATTTCATCAAGCACTCAAAGGTACAGAAGTGGGTCAGGACACGCTGAGCACTGAACACAGGCACAGAAGGAGCTCTCAGTTCTCTCCAGAGGCCACAGCTCCCACCCTGGCCTTGGACAGTGAAGGGTCGCAGCCCCCCTGCCCCAGGGAGTTGGGGGGGAAGCCTGGAGCCACACAGGAACAGGCAAGAATGTGGATCAGTGCTGCAGGCTGGCCCAAGGCCACCTCATTTCCCCTGCAGCCCTCCCTGACCACTCCTATAACCCTTTCCTGCCCATTTCCTTCCCGGCTGCAGCTGTGGCAGAGGAAACGGCAGCAGCAGGGGCTGAGGTGCCCCCACACACCCTGACAGGGCTGAGGGGCACAGGGAGATAGGGGCCATGGCTGAGATCAATTTGCCACCCACTACTGCCCTGGGGAGGAGCCCTGGATGTGCCAGGCAGGACGAGAGGAGAGGCTGAGCCCCACGTCCTCTCTCCAGCCGCAGGTGCCTCAGGAAAACACCCCCCACCCTCAGGAAAACACATCCCACTCACCCTCCCTGCTGGCACCCACAGCTGCTGCCAGCTCCCTTCCGAGCTCCTGCCTGTGTCACACACCACCCTGCCCTGCCCCTACCCCCCTTGTGTGCCCAGGCATCCCCTGAACTCACCTCTGAGCAACTGCTTCACTCATAAACATCCTTCTTATCTGCAATGTAATCTACAATCTCCTGTGGGCACATCAGCTTCTCTGCATCTCCGTCAGGAATTTCAAATCCTGCAAGAAAGGGCCCACACTTAGCCCCAAACCAAGGGAAATGGGACAAGGACGAGGAAGGGATGGCTGCTGGCTCAGGGGACACGCTGGCAGGGGTGGCTGCATCACTGCACTGCCCAAAGTGACACTGCTTCCAGCCCTGGGACACGGCAGGAGCCAGTGCCCCTTGGGCCTGTTAAAGCCACCAGTGGCTCCCCAGAGCTCCCCAGACACTGGGGTGTGGCACAGGGACGTTCTTGGACCTGCAGGCAGCACCTGAAGCCCCTCAGGCTGAGTGTGCTGCCATGTGCTTGCATGGAGCAAACACCAGGGCTCTTGGTGGTGGAACTGGTCAGAAACAGTCCAGAAATGTCTGTTTGCTTTTTTAGTGCTCCTGGCCACACTCACAGCTCACCCGGGGATTACAGACACACTGCCAGCAAAGGCTCTGAGAGTGACCAAACCCCAGGGACATCTATGGCCCAAGGTGACATTTAGGCACCTACTCCAGAATTCATGAGCTTTAGAGGGAAACATGAAGAAGTCCAAAGGAAGTAAAAAGAAATTTGTAATATAAACTGATAAGGAGGAAACACCTTTTTTTTTTCTTTAGTATGATTAAGGATGAAAAAAATTCTCACGAGCAAAACCAACCTGGACTGCCTAGGGTTTTTGATCTGCAATGCCAAGCTCAGCACTCACTGCTCCCCTTTCCCTGTCCCCGGGGGCTGGGAGAAAATTCCTGCTTCCAAAGGGGCTGAGCTCCAGAGCAAAGGGCTGCATTCCCAACTCCCGTGGGTTGCCAGCCCACTGGTGGCTCTGGGAGGTTTGTCCTGCTCTCAGAGCTGGTTCTGGGGGGCCTTCCCTGGCTCTATGAGGTTTGCCCTGGCTCTGTAAGGTTTGCTCTGTTCTCAGGGCTCTCTGTGAGGCTTTCCCTGGCTCTGGGAGGTTTGCCCTGCTTCCAAGGCTGGCTCTGAAGGGTTTGCCCTGGCTCTGGGAGGTTTTCTCCTCTCTCTGTGCGTTTCTCCCAGCCCCACACGCTCCAGCCCAGCGGTGTCGCCGCTCCCAGGCCCGGTCCGGGCGCCGTTACCGAACTCGTCCTCCATGGCCATGATGATCTCCACTTGGTCCAGACTGTCCAGGCCCAGGTCCTTCATGAAGTGGGACTCGGCTGTGAGCTGCGGAGGACACGGCGGTCAGCGGCACAGGGGCACCGGCACGGCAGCTCCCGTTACAGCGGAGCCCGCGGCCCTCCCGCCTGCCCCGCTCACCTTCTCGGGGTCGATCTTATCGTAGAGCTTGAGCACGTAGAGCACCCGGTCCTTGATGTCGGCCAAGGTCAGGGGCGGCAGCTCGGCGAAGCCGCGGCAGAGCGGCAGGGCCAGGCGCGGCAGGCGGAGCAGCGCGGGGCGGCTCGGCGGGTTGGGCGGCAGGCGGCGGAGCGAGCGGAGCGCGGCGGGGCGGGCGGACAGCGGCAGCAGGCGGCGGGCGCAGGACGAGAGGACACGGGCCGCCATGATCGCTGTCCCGGCGGGCGCCGCGCGGGCCGCGCCAGCGCCTGCAGCGCCCTCTGCCGGGCGGCGGCCGCAGCGCTGCGGGCGGGACCCCGCGGGGCCGGCGGCACCGAGCCGGACCGGGATAAACCGGGCCGGGATAAACCGGGCCGGGACCCCGCGGGGCCGGCGGCACCGAGCCGGACCGGGATAAACCGGGCCGGGATAAACCGGGCCGGGACCCCGCGGGGCCGGCGGCACCGAGCCGGACCGGGATAAACCGGGCCGGGATAAACCGGGCCGGGACCCCGCGGGGCGGGCTGAACCGGACCGGGATGAACCGAGCCGGGATCCCGCGGGGCCGGCTGCACAGGGCTGGGATCCCGCGGTCCCGGGCCGGGACCACCTCCACTGCGGGAGACTCCAGACCCTCTCTGGTCTCTGCCCCAGGACTCAGTCACTGTACAGGAAAGAAGTCCAAGTGGAAGTTCCCATGTCCTGTAGCTTCTTCTCCTATTGCTCAGCACCACCAAGAAGAGCCTATCTTCTTGGCACCCATTTAGGTATTTATACACGTTGGTAAAGCCTCTCTCAGCTGTGTCTCCTCTTGAGGTTGAGCAGCCCCAACTCCCTCAGCCTTTCCTCATCAGGGAGATGATTCAGTCCCTCCATCATTGTCACAGCCTCTGCTGGACTCGCTCTAGTTCTGTGTCCCTGCTGTCCTGAGGAGCCCAGAGCTGGACACAGCACCCTGGATGCGCCCCACAGGTCTGAGCAGAGGGGAAGGATCTCCTCCCTGACCTGCTGGAGATGTCCCCTGGAACACCACTGTCCTCCTTGGCCCCCAGGACACACTGCTGGTCAGGGATAGCCCCGTGTCCTTCTCCACATCCCCCCGCAGAGCAGTGACGGCACACACGGGCTGGTTCCAAAGGCAACACATTTAATGCACAGCACACACACAGCACACAGCACACAGCCCCAGCCCTGTCAGGCGGCCCCGGGCTGGGGGGGCCGGTACCGGTACAGGTGCACGGTGCCGTTGCAGCGCCCGGCCAGCAGCCCGGCCCCGCCGCTGGCCCAGCGGGCCAGTGCCCAGCGCCCCGCAGGGCCCGCGGGCAGCACGGCCGTGCACCGGCCCCGCAGCAGGTCCCACACGGCCACGGCTCCCGACGACAGCACGGCGGCACCCGCGGTGCCCCACACGTCACCCTCCAGGTACCTGCGGGGACACGGCGGTCAGCAGGCGGCAGGGGATGTGCAAAAACACCACAGCAGAGTTTGTTTAATTAGCTTAGGGCTCAGGTAATGATTAATAGCAACTGCAGGCAGCCCACAGTCTGGACTGTTCCTCCAGTGCAACCGGGAAGGTAGGAGGGCAAGAAAATCCTCCTGGAGACTCAGAACACACTTGAAAAAGGTATACTCTTAAAAAAGTGGTACTTTAAAAAAAAACCCTGCAAGTGTCCAAGACCAGGCTGGAAAGGGCTTGGAACAACCTGGTCTAGTGGAAGGTGTCCCTGCCTGGGGCAGGGGGTGGGACTGGATGGTCTTTAAACTCTCTTCCAACCCAAACCATTCTGTGATTCCATGACTGTTCAGTGACCAAGACTTTGGTTCACCACTATTCCCACATATCCATCACATTTCCTGTGTAAGGACACTGCAAGGCTGACCCTGCTGATGCCTCAAAACACAGGACATGGGAAGGAAAAGGCCACGTGCCCGCAGCCAGCTGCTCCACACACACAAACCTGGCAGCATGGACTGCTGCAGCCACAGGCAGTGCCAGGGGTTCAGCTGAGGAGCCCAGGGACACACGCCCCAGTCCCTGGGGGACACAAGCCCAAGCCCAGCCCCGTGTCCCCATGGTGACAGGGCTCAGGGTCAGTGTGGGAAGTGGGCAGGAAGCACCCCCAGCCCCCGGCCCCCAGCCCGTGCACCGGACACGGCACGGCCGGATGCAGCCCCTTATCACTGGGACTGGATCCCTGCCAGAGCTGCCCTGCTCCCCAGGGGCTCTCCCAAAGCCCTGAGAGAGCCAGCCCAGCCCAGCCCAGCCCAGCCCAGCCCCAGGGACTCGCCTGCCTGCAGGGCCGGGGGGGAGGCAGGAGAACATCACCCCCACGCTCCGGCCCGTGCGGGGGTTGAAGGCCACCACACGGAATGCTGGGCTTCCACAGGACTCGCTCTCTTTGGCATGAGGGTGGCTTAAAACAACAAACAACAGGCCCTGATACAGAGAGGGAAAATACATCATTAAAAACAACAGCAGGAGGAGAAAAAAACAAAATAATTTTCCAAAAATTAATTGCTACGCTCTCTCTAATCACAGCCCCATGAACAGTGATGCATTATTTTTACTGAAGAAAATAGAAATGGTTTACTTTCCTTATCAAAGTAGATAAAAGCAAAAGCAGCTGCTGGCTGATAAGGGCTGATGCAACACAGCAGAGTGACAGCCCAGTGACCCGAGGGATTTATGAATTTCTCTTCCTGTTTCAAAAAGCTAAACCTGCCATAGGATGAGGTGACACTTCAAAAAACAAAAGAAGTAAAATTTCTGGGTCACATTTTAATCCCTACAAGTTTAAAATGTAACCCACAGAAAGCAGCATAACTGAAAACAGTAGCTCCCAGAACAGCCACAAACCAGCATGAAATATCCTAGGATGGATAATCTGAGGAAGACTCCAAAGAGTCTGACTCGAGGCACCATTATTGGACAAAACATTCTTGTCCCAAAAGGTTACATGCTCACTGAAAACAATCAAATCCTTGATAAACCACAAAAACCCATCGGGAATCACAGCACAGGCAGAAGAGAGGAAAGATGATTAGTATGAACACTGGTTTTACACAGCTCATTCCCTCAGGCAGTGTGTCCAGAGGAACCATTTACAGAGGGCTTCTACTGCTGGCAGCACCCAGTGTGACATGGAAGAGACTTGCCAAGCACAAGGGCAACAGCACTTATGCTTCCCACACACAGCATGCTGCAGCTTTGGAATGCAGCAGGATGCATTGCTCCCCCTTTATTATCACCCTGCAGAAAGCCAGGAGTTGAGGCAGCCAGTGTGGGTTATTTATTCCTCCTGGTTACCTGTTCACCCTTGAATTATTTGCAGTGTATTGAAACCCCCTCTAGCAACTTCAATCCTTTACATCCCTATCCCAGTGAGTGCAGCCCAAACATGACCTGCGAATTTTGGGTACATACAGAGTCAGAATATGCTCGATGGCAGATGGAAGCTGGGTAGGAATAACCAATGTGCATCTTCCTCAGGAGCTGACCTGTCTTCAGATTCCTGCAGTTGGTGAAAACACAAATTCTGACACACTTCTAATCACAGTCACACCCCTGTGTAGGATGGACATGGGTTTGGTTCCATAAACGAAGCCAATAGCCAGGAAGGGTGTAGTGAGGATGACACAAAAGCAATGGAATTCCAGCAGCACAGTTCATTCCCTGGCTGTCTGACTGTGGTGCCACACTGCAGGCCCTCTGACAATCACCATTTCGTGGTGGGTCAGGAGCCAGCCAGCACCTCTGTACATACCTGCAGCTGCTGAGAATGCCCCCAGCCCTTCAACTGTGTGTGGCAGAGCAAACACTCACCAAACCACAAAGCTGTTCCCTGCAGTGGTGCCCACCAGGGCCTCTCTCATCCCTTCTACTTCAGCAAAGGCTGTAACAGTTTCTTCAGGGGGCATCAGAGCCTGCCTGTCCTTGCTCCTGAAGCGAGACCAGCACATAGAGGAGCAGGTAAAACAAAAAGTCCATGTTCTGGAAGAGGATCATGACACTGCTCTACATCCGAGGTGTTTCCTCACTTTTATCCCACCCACTACACGGAGCCCACTCCAAAGCAGCACCCCCAAACTCACCCCCCTGTCTCTGAGAGTGAAACCATCTCCACTTGCTGCTCCTGCATGGTTCTGCTGCTGCTCACCAGCCTCCGGTCCTTCAGTCCAACAACTGCTTTTATATTCCCAGTTTTCACTAGGGAGTGCTCGAAAGAGTCAGTCTCAGAAGAATAAAGCAGGAGCCTAAATCAAGAGACAAGCACACACCATGACAGGAGGAAGCCCCACTCAAATCTGCAGTAGCATATACAATCAGCCTGTGCTCAGTCTGCCAGCTCAGAGCTGAATAAACAAGTCTTTATAGTTGATTTTTAGAAATCCCTTCCAGATTTTCCAACTATTAAAGCAACTGAGAAACTGCCACATTAATAAAAAGGTAATTTCAACTCACTTCTCACAAGAAGTTGAGCTGCAACTACTCAGGATGCAAAGCACTAGTAAGAAATAAATACAAAACCTTATTTCTCCAATCTCCAGCTCTCCCAATGCTACACACACAAGGTTACAGGTGTCTGGCAGAGGAACAATCTGGATTACAGGAATCTGGGACAACAAAACAAGAATTCAGTGTCACCCACAGTTTTCCTTTGACTTTATTCTCATTTTCTAGAGTGTTTCAAGTAAAATAATGCGGAGCAGAATTGATGTTCAGACCCCTCTCAAGAAGCACACTCAAATGAACAGTTGAACTCTCTGCTGACTGGTTGCCTAATTAAACAATCCCTGTTGATGCAAGAGACAAAATGTGCCTCCAGGGACTGTAAGGGAAAAACCACAAGTGAAGTGCATGGAGTATTAAATTCCAGTAGATAACACACAACCATACGAGCTACAAGCTCCTTGAACCTTGGGAACTAGCACATGGGGCAAGAAAACTGCCCTTAACTCTAGAAATAAGCAGTGTTGTACCTCTCTCAGGTGCCAGGTGTAGACCTTGGCCCAGCAGTCAGGTGCCAGGGGCTGCCAGAGGGACACGGTGCTCTCGGAGGCAGTGACCACTCGCAGCTCCCTGTGGCCAGCAGCTGCCCACCACACCGTGCTCACATCCACAGAGCATGAACACGAGGAATCCTGCCAAGACAAACCACTGCTGCTTTTCCTCTGACAGACAACATTACCTGCTGCATTTTTGTTCAACTCTGTCTTGCAGAGCTGCTGCTGCCACGGCAAGAATACCCTGCTGCTCTCCCACCTTTAGCTCTGACACAAACTGCAAGCTCTCTTCTCTGGGGCCGTCCAGCAGCACTGGAGTCAACTGTTCTGCTGTATCTTTCTTCTGCATAAATAAAGCAAAGAATGAGGATCATTCAGCTTTGAAATTATATTCAGCACCTGCAAGAATGAGGCAGAATTGTTGCACGCTCTCTGTCACTCTCATGCAGATACTGCATGCCACTGCTATGACCAATGCAGGACTAGCATGCAAAGAGAACTTTCCCCTGAAGTCAGACAGGACTCTGGAAAAAGGGGATTTGCCCACAAAACCACTGACTTAGTACCCCTCACAAAGACCCCAGCTTGTTACCTGCTCAGGTGAAGCTCTGCAGGATTCCTGCTCATTGTTCTCTGGCTGCTGAAGCTTGTCCAAGGACACAATCTCATCAGATTTATTCTCAGAACCTCTTTCAGCTGCAGAAGGAAATGTTGTGCCTTGCTCCTCCTGGTTTGTGGCAGCCCCTGCAGCACAGCTGTCAGGGTGCAGTGGCACAGCAGGGTCTCTGTGTGCCACATCCCCCAGGACCAGGGCAGCTGCTCCTCCGGGGGAAGGTGGGGTCGCTGAGGCAGGTACAGGTGTGTCCCTCACCGTGACCTCAGTGTGCACTGAAGGTAAAACACCTGGGGTTGCACCCACAGCAGGGAAAACAGATGAGGAAATCTGAGACTCAGGGTGAGTGGGAGCCTCAGCTAAGACAGTCCCCAAGGGAGTAAACAGCAATTCATGGGTGGAAAGCTCCTTCTTGGACACTGGGCTTCCCATGCAAGGGAGTTCAGGCAATCCAGTTTTGGAAGGTGAAATCAAATTACTTCTGAGACCTTTTACTTTCGGCTTCATTTGTGCATCTGGTGTGTCCTCTGGAGCCACACCATCCCCAGACACAAAATCCTCCAAGTCATTCACAGGAGAAGATTTCAATTTCTCCAGTTTCAGTACTCCAAACTCCTCGTTTGGTAAGTGGAAGTCCCTGATGCCCAGCTGAGGGACCAGCCACTGGAGGCTGCGAAAGGAGAAGAGGGAGCCACGAGTGTCAGGGTCCACAGCAGGGAGCCTGAGGGCAGCAGGACCCTGTGAACCCATGGGACAGCTGTGTCTTCTGCTGCTGTCATCTAAACACAAGAATAAAAGACAAAACATGATATCATAAAATAACCAGCAACTTGCCTTTTCAGAATCTCTCATGAAGGGTGTCTTGGATTTAAAAAAAAAATCAAAACACTATATTCATCTTAATACAGGGAAGTGGAACTTTTCTGGAAAGACTCTACACCCTGCAGTTACTCTGTATCTCTGGATCAAACCTTCAGCCCATAAACCACCACCAAAGCCTGACAGATATGCCTGAGTGCTCGGTCAGTTTGGCTTATTGGTTTTCTCCCAACACTTTCTCTTTTCACAATATTCACAGACCCTCAGAAAGGAGAAAATAAACATTAGCATGCAGACTCAGTTGGAGGAACAGATGGACAACCACTTGCTAGCAAACCAGCCCTAGTGTTCACAATCTTCACTCCAACAGCAAGGGCAGCTCAGTAAATTCCCAGCCCTGCTCCTCCTCTATTCATTCCCTGCAGAAGTTTCTGGAATTGTTCAAGGAACATGGGCACCACAATGATCTATTAAAAAAAACATCTAATATTTAAAAGAATAATAGTTAACATCTATTGTATTTTCTTGCATAAACACAGCAGGGTGTGAACAGCAGGGCCTGCACTCACAGGGATGTTCCCTGCCTTGGGGAATGGGCATTTTGGGGAGTTTCTATGTGAGGAAGTACCTGGTGAGCCCGTGTGGGCCCCGTGTCTCGCAGAGCAGCGCGGGGAGCGGCGCACAGGGACACTGACCCCGGGGAGCTGCCCAGCCCCACGGGCTCCTCGCTGCCTCTTCACACGCCCCACTGGATGTTTGTCTCCCTGACACACAGCAGCGTTGGCTTCCACATCTCCCACGCAGCTGGCAGAGGTGTCACTCTCTGGGCTCAGAGAATCACTGCTCTGGAGGGGGTTTTGAACCCGCTCTACCAGAGCCTTATGGCATTTGCCTGGCACTTGGCTCCCACCCGGAGCAGGGTCAGGACCCTCTGGCTGTGTAGCTCCAGTCACTCCTGTCCCTGCAGACCCCAATGCTGCAGCACCACACACTCTCCTCTCCTCTGAGGATGACCTTTCAAGGTTAGCATCACAGTTTTCCTTCTCACTCTGGTTCTCATTTGACAGCAGACCACTGCTTCCAATGGCTGCTGTGGGATCCTGACTCTCTATAAGCTCTTGTGATGCTGCATGCATGAGGGCTCTGCAGGCAGACTTTCTTCTTCCCTTCTGTTTTTTCTGGGATTGTCTCTGCTCTTGCCTTGTGCTAGGGATGCTTTTCTGAGAAATGGATTTAAGAGAAGTGCTGCTGCTGCCAGATGCAGGAAGAGATTTCTGAGAACTACTTGAGTTTGCTTGATCATTTTCTGCCTCAAGAAAAGGGAAGGCCACAGCCCCAGGCTCCAAATCACCCTCGGCTCTCTCTTGCGAGGGCTGATTGGGGTTTGCATCTTTCTGCCTGCATTTACTCCGCTGACCTTTCTTGTTCCTGCCCAGCTGGCTGAGGATGACAGCATCCAGGTCCACCTTCCTCTGGCAATTCGACATGCGGCGAGTTGTGCGGACGTAGTACTCGACGGGGAAGAGCAGCCCCTCAACCACTGTGCAAGAGCTCAGCGTGCCCTCGGGAGCATTGTCAGGAGGAGAGAGCCTCGACTGAACATCAGCCTGCTGATTCTCCAACACTTCTTCAGCACTGTCCACAGCATTATCTGCAGGACAGGGATTTAAGGTGTTAGTGTCACTTTGATGTCCTTCATGGTTTTTGCTCTCCTCGGTTATGGTGTTATTTCTGCTGTCAAGCAGTATTTCATTTTCTGACATTAAATCCAGGAGCCCACGTAATTCTCCCTGATCTTCACACAAATTCTGACCTTCTGGCTGCTTTATTATACCGGGAGATTCTTCTCCACCATCACCTCTGGGGTCAAGTAAAACAGAGTCTCCATGCTGTGAACACGGCTCCTGTCTATCAGGTGTGGCCACAGCCCCTGGGGATTCAGGCTGCCAGGTGTCCCTGCTGTCCCTCAGCACATGTGGGGATGGCTCAGGCTCTTGTGCAGTGACACTGCTCTCAAACACATCCTGTACAACCCCTGATGGTACATCAGGAGTGAAACTGTTTCTTTCTCCCTGCACAAGCAGTGCCCCAGGTGCCCTTTCAGCGGGTTCCTCAGTGTGTGAGAGGCTGCTGCGCCTGAACACTGGTGACTGAAGTTCCTCTGCACTGGCAATTTGATTTTTCATCATTTCACCAGCACTCATCAGATGCACATCATGCACAGGTTCCCTTTCTTTTGATTCCAGAGCCTTTGTCCGTCTCCGCAGCTTCATCATGCCTCGGGAGGTTTGGGGCTTTTTCTCCACGGGGACAGGCCTGATGACCCCACAGCACAGGTTTTCCTGGCTGGCCTGAAAGCTTTCTGCCTGGGAGCTGTCCTGAGGGCTAACCTCATCACTGGAGAATTCTGGAACATGCTTAACTGTGACAGACGTTGTCTTCTCTGTGTCAGCATCAGAGCAGGTTTTAGTCTGTAACTGAGAGGGCCCACCTCTGTCAGCACTGGGAGATGTGTTATCTCTGGAACCTGGGGGGAAAAAAATGTCACACGTACATACATACATGTCATACTCCTCAAGTCCTGTCCAAGAAAAATACCACATGGTAAAACTAGGCTTTGTTAGCAGGGAAAGATGGGGATCTTACAGAGAGGACCGGAGCATTGCAGACCTGGTGAGGAGGGAAGCAGAGCAGATGTTACTGCAGAGCAGGGCTCAGCCCAGGGCAAGGGCGGTGTGGGGTGTGGGGGCAGCGGGGCCCGGAGTGAGGGTCAGCAGGGCCCGGAGCGTCCTCAGCAGGACAGTCCGAGGGGCACTGAGGGACAACAGTGACCGCCGAGTGCTCCCACTGCCCTGTCCTGGGGCACTGCCCGCGGCTCCCACCCGGGACATCCCGGTGCCACCATCTCCTACCTGGGGCCTCCCGTTCTCCCCGGTTCCCGCCTGGGGGGCTCCTCTCCCGCCGGCCGTGGCTCCTGGCTCTCTCGGCTCGCCGCGCCCGCTGCGGACACACAAGACCCCGGCGGGGCTGGGACCGGCTCTCAGTGCCCCTCGGTGCCCCCCGGTGCCCCCTGGCCCGGCCCGGCCCGGCCCGCTCACCCGCAGCCGGATGACGGTCTCGCTGTACTCCCGCCTCAGCAGCGCCAGCTTCTCCCGCAGCTGCAAGAGACACCCGTGGAGATGGGACCGGTCCTGGTCCCAGGCCCAGTCCCAGTCCCAGTCCCAGGCCCGGCCCGCACCTTCTCCTTGTCGGCGCCGCTCAGGACCGGCGCTGCCGGCGGGGCCTCCATGGCAACCGGGGCCGGCGGGAGCGGGGCCGGGCGGGGCCGGGCGCGGCGGAGGTGACGCGACGGAAGCGGAGCCGGGCCGGGCGGAGCGGCCATGGAGCTCAGCGAGATGCTCTACAACAAGTCCGAGTACATCGAGACGGTGCGGGAAGCGGGGAGCGGGGAGCGGGGGGCACGGGGGTCGGGGGGCCGCGGGGCCGAGCCGGGCTCGCCGGCGGGCGGCGGGGCCCGGGACACCCGCCGTGACCGCCCGTTCTCCCCGCAGGCCTCCGGCAACAAGGTGAGCCGGCAGTCCGTGCTGTGCGGCAGCCAGAACATCGTCCTGAACGGCAAGGTGAGCGCCGGGCGGCGGCTGCCGTGGCCAGCCCGGTCCCCGCCCGGTCCCCGCGGTACCCAGTGCTGCTCTCCGCAGCATCGCTGACCGTGCTGCTTCCATCCGCGCAACAACACCATTCTGTTCTGTGCCTAAGCCTGGCTCTGTAATGCTCACTGGCATGACCAGGAGAGCAACTGGTGGTTCCAACCTCCTGTACTTTCGCTTTGTTGTCAGTTTTGTTTTGACTGAAAGAATCGTAAGGTAATCTTGCTGGAGTGACTAGGCTTCGGCATGAGTTTGTGTAGTAACTGGCAGCACAGGTAGCAAAGGGAGCGGGTTTACCTGTGTGTCCGTCTGCAGACGATCGTAATGAACGACTGCATCATCCGCGGTGACCTGGCCAACGTGCGGGTGGGACGGCACTGCGTGGTCAAGAGTCGCAGCGTCATCAGGCCGCCCTTCAAGAAGTTCAGTAAAGGGTAAGAAGCCTCTTCCTTTAGGGAGATAACTTAAAAAATCTGTCAGCTTGACTGAATCTCTGTGTTCCGAGAGCTCTGTTCGTTTTGCAGCAATTTGCAGAAGTGCATCTCTCAAACCTGCTTTTTCCTCAGATGCTGAGCTGTGCCTTGAGGGTTGGTGTTCCCATCAGACTGTTGGATAGAAAGGGATAGATTAGAATAGCAAAGTGAAGAGCACATTTCAGTTTCTGTGTGTTTATTCTCAACATCTTCCTTCTCATTTGGGCCATCCTTTAGAGAGGAGAAACCCAGAAACTGTTCTGTCCCCTACATCTATTAATCCATGTGGGGACAGGACACTCCACAGGGTGATTTTGGGTCTAGCAGTGTCAGTTGGTTTGTTGGACACAAACAAATCCTCTCCTGTTGCAGGGTGGCTTTCTTCCCTCTGCACATTGGTGACCATGTCTTCATAGAAGAGGACTGCGTTGTCAACGCGGCCCAGATCGGCTCCTATGTGCACATAGGCAAGAACTGTGTCATTGTGAGTGCCATTTCTGTATTTTCTGTCAGCTCCTGGGTGCTGCTGAGGCCTTGTGACAACAGCTCAGAGTTGTCTGGAGCAGCTGGCTGGAGCAGGCTCACCTTCTCTGTGCTGTTCCTTCCTGCTCCTCTTCCTTCTCTGCAGGAAGCTGAGCTTTCAGGTTTGCTTTTCCGAGGACAGCGGGTTCAGCTGCTGCTGGCTGCAAAATCCATCCCAGCAGTGCTGTCTCTGTGGCTAATGCCTGAGGAAGGCAGCCTGGCCACAGAGTACAAGTGGATTTGTGTTTCTGTGTAAATAAGACCAAATAGTCAAGGCTGCTGTGTGCTGAGGCAGAGAAGGCCTTTCTGGAACTGCTTGACTGGGGTTTTTGGTTCCAATTTGAACATTCACATGTTAATGTGCAGTTGTACCTGTGCTAGTTTGAAAGCAAGCAGACATTTTTCCTCAAAAAGAAAAGTTAATTCTGTTGGGAGGAGCATTTAGTCAGGGTAAAGATTTATTCTTGTGATCTCTTATAAAGGATATGTTTTGAGCAATAAATCTTCTTGAAATTTAGGTAACATACCAGTAATAATAAGAAAACCTCATGTTTATAGTGTTGTAAATATAAACTTCTCCTGTTCTCTGTTTTAGGGACGTAGATGTGTTTTGAAAGACTGCTGCAAAATCTTAGACAACACAGTACTTCCTCCTGAAACTGTAGTTCCACCCTTCACTGTCTTCTCTGGCTGCCCAGGTATGCTCCCTCTAACTTCCCTTGCACAAAAGTGCAGGTAACGTGGATATTCTTATTTTAAATGGGATTTCTATAACAAGAGCATTAGCATTTAGTGCCTAAAATTAAAGGTATCAGGCACTTGCTGCACTGAAAAGTAACAGTTTAAACTTGTGAAACTGCCTGTTTAGTGCATGGTATATAGGTGGTACGTGATGACTGATGGCCATACTGTTGTTTTCCAGGACTCTTCTCTGGGGAGCTCCCGGAATGCACCCAGGAACTCATGATTGACGTTACCAAGAGCTATTACCAGAAGTTCTTGCCACTCACTCAGGTCTAGTAGCCCATTTCCCGTGTTTCAGGCACGCAGGAGCATTCTAGGGGTGGGCAGAGGGGTGTTCTGCAGTGAGACCAGAGCCCTGTGCTCTCCTGAGCTCTCCTGAGCTCTTCTCTGTGTGTCCCTCAGCACTGCTGACCTGGCCAAGCAGTCCCTCGTGAAAGCTGCTGTGTCCTGTCCAAACTTTGTATTCTCATCCAGTGTACTCCATTCCACGTTGTCTGAATTGTGCCACTGAATGTTCTGGAGCTGGGAAAGCTGAAATACCTGCCTTGGGGCAGCAGCTGGGGAACGAGGCAGAGCTGACACGTGCTCTGCAGCCTCAGCCTGTCTGCTCAGTTCTGTCCTAACCCAAAGCTAGCCTTAGGTTTGCTGGGAGCAGTCTCCATCCCAGCAGGGCTGTTCTGGGTGTGCTCTGGGCACTTACCAGGGTTAATTAGACCTGGGCCTTTCCTTTGGCACAATACTTGCTGCCCATGGGCCTGCATGCTAAGGTGCATGGCCTCTTCCTTTTCTCCCTGGGATTCTCTCCAGGGGCTCATCATCCTGCTCTTGGCTTCAGGAGTTTTGGCTGACACTGACTCCTGTCTTTCTGTGCCTGACAGGATGTTTCTTAGCTTTCAGCTCCTGAGGCAGACTGACCTCAGTCCTGTGCTTTCACCCCTCAGGGCTAGTGTTCCTGGGGTCAGTGCCACTTCCTGAATATCACAGACTGTAAAGAGCCAAAGGCCTTTGAAAATAGGATTGCCGTGACACTCACAGAATTCCGTGCAGCAGAAAGTGGGTAATTAAAAGTGAGAGAATGCTGCAACTGTCCTCATTTATTACCCAGTGTCTGTGTTTGCAGAAAGCTCTTTGGTGCTTTTCTGTGTTATGAAACTTAAGAATTACATTCAGACTTCTTAGAAAGAGTGAAGATTTAATTTTGTACACATAGTAGAGCAGGAATAGTTCTTGCTGAGAGCAGCTCTGAAAGTTGGAGGCATCTAATGCTTGTGTACCTGAGTGCAGACAACTGGCTGCCTGCTCTGGTTGTGCTCTATTAAAGCTTAGCATAGTCCTGCTCTAGGTTTTAAACTGGGGCTCCTGCATGTTGTAGTGTAGCAGCTGGGGCCAGGACATGTATTAGGTGTGTGGCTGTGGATGAGGAGCCCTGGAGTCTCAGCTGATCTGTGTAGCAAATGCTGATACACCTTAATAACAAATAGCTGTATGAGTACTAACGTGTAGTAGCTGCTGTACATCACATGTAAAACCACTGACTGGTTTGTATTTTTACTGTACATAAATTAAAGCCTCTTCGGTTGTTCAAGTGACTCATGACTCTTCAAATCAAACTAGATTGAGGTTCCTGCTATGACTGGGCATGAGCCACATTCCCTTGTTCTGCTACAGGCTATTCTGGCTGTCCTGTGCATTAAAAAAGTGTAGAACAGTGTGAAACAGCTGCTTTCTCCCTCTGAGGGGCCAGAGAGGCCTCCTGTGTCACAGACTTGACAGGTTTGGGGCTTCCTGTGAGATTTCCTGCAAGTCGGGAGTTCAGAGCACTGCTTTGCTCCAGGGTGTCTCTGGCTGTGTCTGGCAGGAGTGGGGTGTCTGTACTGTGTTGCTGTGTTGTCACCTCAGAGTTTCAACACCACATCGTGTGTTTCACCAGGATCACTTGATCAGCAGCCACAGCAGCAGGGAGAGGAGTGGGAGAAGGGATGTGAGTTTGGGAGTGGGATGGCAGCTGGAAAATCTGAGTGATGGATTTCTACAGCCACTGAGAGCAAAGCTGTAGTGCATGAAGGGATATGTCACTGCAATTACATGTTTCTTGGCTTGCTCTTCCTTCTAGCTGTCTGAGCTGACTCTTCTACCTTAATTAAAACCTCTTTTGTTGTCTCTGTTAAGGTGGCCTCTGGCAGGGCCTAAAACCAAGCCAGCACTGAAGATCCCTAACACCCAGCATTGTTAACATTCCTTACACTGGCCACTTTCTCCTCCTGCCTCTGAAGCGTCCCTCTGACCTGGGCTCACCTCTCCGCCTCTGC